ATTTTTTTCAAAAAACAATTTCCTAATTATCTGGAGATTATTAAGATTTTGCATGTGAAATTTGAAAATGTTCTAATGTATTAAAGTATTTTTAATCTTAAAACCAAAATTGGTTTGCATGTTGGATAGTCAACATTCTGAAAAAAAAAACGTTTATGAGAAAATCTTTAATTCAAATATATTAATACTTAATTTTAAAAACCGATATTTTGTGTATGAAACGTTGTAATATTTACCAATAACCTGCAAAATTTCATAAAGATGTGCACACATTATCAAAAATCATAGTATAATTTCTCTCATGGATACTTTCGTGGTTATGAGCTGGGTGGATTCCACCCAGCCCGTAATGGAAGGATTAATCAACATACCTCCAAAAGCAAAAATCAAGTTCTAATTGTTAACAATTTCTTTATTTTTTCCACATTATTTTACATTGGTGTCAAAATAAATTGGTGTAAAATAAATACTAAATAAGTTTTAAGTTCTATATTTTTAATAGTTTTATTTCTGAACTTTGCTCTGTTTCTAAAAACTCGCTAATAAAGAATATTCATGTACACCATACTAGTTGTCGAACTCAAAGAACAAGTTAAAAGCATGATATTGCATCTCACTGTCAAATATCTTTTGAAGCAAACTTGTTTAAAGTCGCATGCATATTACATTATATTAAAATTAAAATCTACTTGTTTCACTTTGAAATTCTGTTATACTTTAATCTCCAACTTTAAAGACATAAATAAATTAAAAATTTGACCCAACATATGTGTATGTTACAGTAGGCCCTACACAATAACTCAGAACTTGTAACCTTTTTTACTAGAATTTGAAAACCTTGTAATCAATAAGCTCTGAAAATTTGAAAATACTTAAGACTTAATTCTTACTTGCTGGATTTTTTCAGTCTTAACAAGTTTCTCTTCCCAAGTTTCAGACATTTCTTGAACTAGTTTTTCTGATTCCTTCAATCTTTCGTACAAACCTTCTCGTTGCTAAAGTTCACAAAATGATACATAATTAACATCTTTAATTTTTCATTCTTCACATTTAGTAATTCTATAAATTTGTTTCTTGAGTATCAATAATGTTTCTCTGCAAGAATCATAAACCTTAAAAAACAACAATGAAATATTTTTTCAAAAGAATGCTTAGCACGTTTGTATTGAAAACAGCATAGGCAGATTTTTTATACTGTGTCAACATTTTTCTAATCTGTGTGTCACGCATTGAAGGTTTTCAGGCCTAAAAATACTGATTCTCATTTTTTTAAGTTATTTGATTTTTGTTTGGAATATTTTCAACAAAGCTACAAAAAGTCTATGTGCACCTTGGCCTTTAGCTGATAGACTAAAGACAAGGCAACAGTACCCACCACCAACTCTCTTATATGGCTATTATAGTGTGGTTATAATATTGTTATTATATACTTATCTAATTCTTGAAAAATCCCTAAGGAACTAGATAAAGAATGCAGCATTACACATATAATAAACCTAATACTAATGTTTTATAACAAGTATAATCAATTACAGTCATGCTTCACCAGCTTGGAAATCAAATTCACACCACAGTAATGTCTACTATTTAAAAAACTCATACATGTATAGATCCACACACTTTGAAACTAAATATGAAATGCTCATCAAATATCCTAAGCCAATAATATTTAGCCTTACAACATTTTAAAATTTTGCCCTTTGGAGATTTTAACCAAATAATTGAGAATGGTTAGAAGTAAATATTATCTTGGAATCATGTACAATTAATTAAAAACTAAAATATAAAATTTCAATAAAAATATGTTTATAGCAAATGCTAATGTTTCAATATAAAACATACAATTCATTTTCTCTATAGACTGGATTATTAACATCAGTATTTTTGCACTTAAGGTTTACACCACTTTCAAACATAGTGATAGGTTTAAAGCTTACTGTTGCATGCTTCAGTTGTTCTCGCAATTGCTCCACTTCTTCTCGTAGTTCTCTGATGATTCTAGCATTAGGATCTTCATTGATAACAGCATGGTTAACAATGCGCTTGGCTCTGTCTGCATAGCGAAGAGTTGAAAGTGTTTCATCATAGTTATCAGCTGCTGGACTAATGGTGGCAACCATTACTGTTTTACTGTTTCCTCCTAAGTTGTCCTGAAAATACAAAATTTTACACAAGGTCTTAACCTCTTCTTAAAGTAGCTAATAATTTAATCGATTTATTGTAAATGTGTAATAAGCTAATGGGATTATTCTAATATGTTAATGTGACATAAACTGATAGAACCAGAGAGATAGTTAAGGGTGCTAGTGGCAAAGCAGTTTATGTGGTACATGTTGGGGCTAATGATGTAAGGAATGATGGATCTGAGGAGCTTATTTCAAGTCTGAGAGTGATGGGGATAGGATTATACAAATTCTTCAGGATACTTTTATACACAAACTGGTGATTTAGCCAACAAGAGAGGAAGCTATATTATATATAATATTAGCATCCAATATGAATATGATAAACAGAGTTGTGGTTTGTGAGCATTTAAGTACAAGTGACCATTGCACTATTAGATGTGGGATTTTACAACATGTAGAATTGAAAAAGAATAGTACCCTGATTCCAAATTTCAGGAAAGCCAATTCTGATAGAATCAGACATGATCTGCCTTCTGTAGATTGGACTAAAGAGTGATGGGGGGGGGGGGCAATGGAGCAGAATAAGTCAGTACAGTTTAGTAAAGGTTTAACTCTTTCAGCATGGGCTCGGTCCCTGGGACCGACCTTGTAACCATTTTGTGCTAATTCTAGTTCCCATGCTATAACTTTTAAATTAGTAAGCATGTGTTAATAAAATTTGGCAGATTATCAGTAAAGATTACAATGCTTTCATATGCAAAATATCAAATTTGCAATGTTTTTCATGTCTTTTTTTTCTTTTCACATGTTGCCTATCTAACATGCAAAGTCATATTCATTTTAAGGTTAAAAATACTTTTAGGCAGAATATTCTGATATTTCACATGCGAAATCTTTATAATGTATGGATAGTTATCAAATGTTTCTTATGAAAAAACTTTATATTTTATCTGTTATTTTCAGTAATTAATCTCTGTACAGGTTTAGTAAATTTGACCAATCTCATTAGGAAATAAATATAAATTATGCCTCTTTCATTCTAGAATGAA